TTCCAGGGTGCAAGCCAGTAATGGTCAGGACCGGCCGGAGGAAGAAAAAAAAATAAATAAATAAAAAATCTGCGATTTTTCCCCTCGGCACGTCAATACATTCGGTTAGATATAGAAAAAAGTGTAAATAAATAGTCTATGAGTACAATAAAGATATCTTATAATTCAACCAAAGATATATTTTATGAACCTACGATGATATTGTTGATGGGAATGTGGATTAATTTGACGAAAAATCCAATGAAACCCATTAGACAGAATCCTATTGCGGTGGCAATAGCAATTTTCTGAAATTCTGAAACAAGAAGTATTTGGTTAAAATAAATTTACTTGATTGATCATGAAAAACTGTCCAAACATAGTCATTTACACTTACTAAGCAGGGAAAACATTGTCACATCTCCCCATCAATTAAAATTACTGATTGCGTTAGAATACTAACTTAAACAAAAATGAGAATATACTGAAATTAAAAAGTATGATGGAGGATTTTCATTTATTAGGAATTTCAGGCAGTTATAGTATGAATACTTTCTGCTGATTCAAATTTGATGCTTTGCACTAATGCGAATGGTTTACCTTTTCTGTCTGGTTTGGTGCACCTCTTCACCAATCGAAGCGAGTCCTTAGAGAACTGACGACCAGGTTCCAAAAAGTTCCTAACTTGATCCATTTTCTGCAACAAAAGGATGTATTATTTATTTATAATCAATATGTTTTGTGAATACTAGTAACTGGCCTTCGTTGGTTTTTTTCAACTAGGATTTAGATGTTGGAAGCTTAGATTTAAATAGTTATTATTGTATAACTGGTCCAATGAACAAGTAGGTGACTACTTCTTTAGCAGCGGTTCTCAAACTTTTTGGGCGACGGAACCCTTTAAAAAAATTAAATTTGCTATTTACGTATTTTGCTGTAATGTTATTGCTAATTTGCTGTAATGTATGAAAGTGCTACAAGATGATTGTAGTACTTTCATACATTACAAGAAATTGACGCCATTTGTCTGGATATGTTACTGAGGCATGCTGGAAAAGTACGGAAAATAAATAAAATTAAAAAAATCAGATTATTTTTCCAATAAATTAACAGTTGAAAATCCACTTTAAACTTTGTTATTAAAGAATATTTTACAGTTGTTAAATTATTGTTAGTTGGTTTATTTGGCAAATTAATAGAATACTAACCCTTACATATAAAACATTTAATATAGATAGATAACTCATTGAATTGATTACGCATTGAAATGCAGGTATTTAGATCAATACTTTGGGAATTCAATTGAAAATTTTAATGTAAATACATATATTGAATTGTTCTCAATTGATTAAATTCCCGAATTTATAGTCCTATTAGCAATTAGCATTAGTACGTCGTTTGTAGGTGCGAATCTAAGACTTTGTGGTCTAATGTATGATTTCGGTTTTGGCAAATATTTCAGTTTCTAGTAGAAATAATTTTTTTACATTTTCCGTACACCAACACCCAGAGCCGTTTTTGAATCACCGTGAATAGCTTTTACCGTTTAATTATATCACTCTCAGTTAGGATTTGAAAGCTAGTGTAGGCACCAACATATTTTTTTATTAAAACATGTTAATTCTAAAAAATAATTAGTTAATTGGAATTGAAATTTGAGTATATGAATATTTTTCCTAAATATTATGATGTGGTTGATATATTTCCTCAGATCTTTGAAATTTTTTTTAAATATAACACAAATGTAATTATGTATATTGTTTTAAAGATTGTCGGTCACTTTAGCGCCAGTTACATAGAAATTGAACTTGGTGTATAAATAAAACAACAGGCTCCAC